TCCACCAGTTATGTTGGTGAGTTGTATTTCCCTTGGCTGACAAACCACCTGGCATTCTGTCTGTGAGCAGGAAGACCCCTTTCATCTGTTTCTGGATTTCGGACCATCTGTGGAGGAATCTACTTCTACTCTGTTTCCAGGATCCTGCAGGACAGGAGGGTGGGTCGCCTAAAGACACGCTCTTGACTTGAAGAACCAGCACTCTGCAAGGCATTGCCCTCCAAAATTTGGCCCTCAAAAGACTTGATCCACATTTACTGTATAAACCTGTGTTAGAATGTGAACTTCAACTGAACTCCAGCTTAATTTCTATTTCTATATTTGCTGTCATCTCATTTCTCATCTCTGATGCCACAGAACGAAGCAACAACTCTCTGGAAGATGTCAAGATGAAATAAATATTTAAGCCACTGATCAGAGCTTAGCAGGCTTAGAAAGCATGAAAAGAGCTGTCAGAAGCTCACAACATTCAAACTTTGAACAAGCAGCTCAAGAGAGAATAACTTATTACAGCCTTAGTGCTAACTACACCAACCTCTAGCTCAACTGCACTATTTCTGTTGTAAATATACCAGGTCTCTCAGACTGGCACAGCACAACAACATTTCCATTGGCAGGAAGACTAAAAGTTTTAAGAAAAGTGAGAAAGTATTGCAAAAGAGAAAAGTTTTGTAATGCACTCTACGTGCGCTAAGTTGAGGAACATAGTAACAAATAACGTATTCATATATTTTGCAGATCCGCTGCTTATAGATGTTATTTCAAACATTTCATGCTTCTGGATTATCAGAAAAAAAGTGGCCCAGTTTTTCTGCTGTCCAAAGGTACTGCCCTCAGCTGACAGATGGAATAAAAAAGGCACTTACTAGGATCCCTTTTTGTACCTGTGCAGTTGCTGGTATATTATCAGCAGTGAAAACCATGACCTGTTCTACGACTATGCAGTTCAGGACCACAACCGTGACCAGATTTGTTCTTCTGCATTTGTGATGGCAAGAGATGACCAAAGATGGAGAAACTGAGAGCATGGGCATGATTCTCAGTGCCTGTATCCTGTGTTGAAGATGGGAACATGGGAATAAAGACAGAGCTTGCCTGTATATTTCCTGCACGTTTTTGAAACACTGAGGCATAGATGAAAACATTTCTAGGACCTGATCTAGCTTGGCCTCAAAAGGTCAAAAAGGAATTTCAATTCCAACCCGATGTCACACATCATTATCCTAGAGCTGCTGTGAAGCAGTAAATAGCACATTTCTGCACAATCTTATGTTGCTTCACATTGTCAGAGCTATACAAAGGGTCCTTTGTGTTAATGGAGAAGTGGTTTGTAATTTGTACTTGCCAGGTATATAAAAAAATCACGTCAACAACAGCCTAAACAAGCTACACAAGACAATGACATTCTGTTTTCATTACAGCAAACGTTGAACACTTCAGAGGCAGTCAATTGTTCCCAATCATCATTTATAAACAAAGCTCTAGTAAAAGCACAATGAGTGGCAACATAGGCAAACAACAGCAACCTGACAAAATCATAACAAGCTTCAGAAATTCCTTCTTGGAACAATGCTCTTGCCTACTTTTTAAAGTGCAATTCACTTGGCTAGGCAGCTCTGCAATGTATCAAAGAGAGAATCAGGCAACAAATTTGTAATGATTCCTTCATGCAAATATCTATAAACTTCTGAGCGCTTGAAATAGTAACATCCGTTGCATATTTGCATCACTCTCCTTTTTGAGCATCACTGGCAGAAAATTGTTGTAGACAACACCTTGGCACAACCATGGCAACGTGCTAAGAGCAAAAGACTTGTTAAAATACACACAATTCTCTTGCTGTAGTACTTACCCCACTGTGATGTCAAATATGTTGCTTCCCACAGAACTGGATACAGCCATGTCCCCCAGACCTTTGCGTGCTACAATGACACTGGTAATAAGGTCAGGAATGGATGTGCCAGCAGCTAGAATAGTCAATCCCATGATTTCTTCACTAATACCAATGGTCTCTCCAACCTAAAAGGGTTTAAGCAAAAACAGAAAAAAAAAGTCCTGCAGCGAAGCAATGCTTTCTGCTGTAAACCTGAATACTGTCCTGGAGCTTGCCGACTAGCTTGGAGAATACAGGCAAAATTTGAGAATTACTCATTTTCACAGATTTCCACAGGCTTCAGGAGAAAGATAAGATTGTCAAATAGAACCAGTAGGTATTGACAAGCGGCTGCTGATAGCTCTGACGTTACCAGAATGATCAAGTCCTCCTGTGGTCAGGACAACCACAGCTCTCTGAACTACTTTCCATTTACTGAGTAGTGATTTACTTCATCCATGGTTGCAGCTCCTAAAATAAAGCACTACTCAGCATGAGGCAGACGACGGACTCTGATTCTAAACCATCTCTCACAGCGCAAAACACAACGTAGGGCTTGTATTTTGTACCAGTATCACCTGCTTACCTGATGTGCCCACCAGACCATTAAGTAAGAAAAAAATGCAATCCAGCTGATAGAGCCAAAAAATGTGATAGGAAAAAATTTTCTTGACGTCTGAAACAGAAACAAAAAGAAACAGTGAAGACCTATGTTGAAGGCAGACGTGCTGTACTCTTATTTGCTTTTCAAAATGCTAGTGGCCTATCATTTCTTCTGATCATCTGTTCTGACCAACTGTTCTGATCATCATCAGATGATCAAAATAAATGCCAAGAATGATATGAAACTGACTCCCTGCACTGGTGTATACTTACCTATGCCTCACTCTTCCAACCGCTTGTAAAATAACACCTCGTAACAACTTGAATGATGAATGACAACTTTTGGGTTGTCATTTGTATCATATTGTTATGCCACAGTTTGCATATGTGTTTATTGAATGGTGGTTTGACTTCTAAATTTATTTGTAACTTCATGCTTATTCAGAAGGAATGTTCTCAAATTGCTAAAACAGGTATCCATGCCTTTCATTCATACCTCAGTAACAACACTTTTCACAGTGCAACAACACCTTTCACAGTCAGTATAACAAAGGCTGCCATATGACAGAGATAAAAAGAACACACATCTAAAATTTATTAGAGCATTTACATTTCTTGGGAAAACAACTCACTTTTTCAATTTGAACAAAAGATACATGAAGCACATATTTGCCATGTTTTGTTTTGTAGAGAAGTTTGCTACAAAAACATGTAAAACACACTCCGAGGCCCTTCAGTGAATTAAAAAATCTGTGTGACACCAAAGTAACTTCATTTTCATTTTCAGTGTCTCCCTTACTAATGTCAAACTTCGACTAGATCGCGTTCTTGCAGCCAATGAATGGGTTATAGTCAGATTAATGATTCATTTTGGTTTCTCTTCTTTGCAGTCTTTTGCATCATCCATATTTCCTATTGGCTAGGTAGATCTATATAACAAGAAGAGATCAAGTTAACTCCTAAAGGAAGGAAACATGACTGCAGTACTGTACCAGGCAATCATTGTCTAATTCAAATTGCTGTTTAAAATGAAGTTTGTACTGTGAACAAATGCTGCCAGTCTTGAATGAAATCACAATCTTCATGGGCATGGACCTTCTGAACACAGATCCTCACTCCAGATGAATTCTGACGTGCCACTATCAGAGTCCTACAAATTTCCATGAATAAGCAGTAGGACTGCTTGTGGAAGTAAGTTATACCTCTTTGAATACCTATTCCAGCTGCTGCTCGATCTCGCACTACTTTTTCCTGCTAACTCCGTGCTAAATACACTTCCACTTTTCGCTCTGCAGGGGACTCCAGAATTTTTGGGCAGCACACCTTGCCTGTACCTGGCTCCTCTGCAGGATGTGCCCATGCTGCACCAGGAGACTCGCTAGCCTGTGAGCCATTCCTAGGTGTTGTGCGAGCAAACAGGACTTCGGGGCTTTCCCTGAACATGACTTCTGGAGAGAAAACACCATTTGGATTTTGCCAATTCAGCTTGCTCAAGCCATGATAAAGCCCTCTTTTTTAGGGAGTTTACAGAGCTGCACAGCCAGCCTTTCCTGTTTAACACACAAGAGGCGTTTTTATGGGACAGTCTCATGTTTGGGAACTGATTCAGCATGGATGGCTGCGGAGTGAGAGGTGCCCAGTGAATGGGGCTGGCCATTAAACCTAGTCACGCGGGAACGACAGTGTCTTTGTCAGCTGAGCCAGAAAAGAGCGAGGCTGGTCTGCAGCTCATTGAAATTGTGTAGACTCTTTCTGCTGATGTAGATGGAATGAGATCAGGTCATTACTGACAGGAAAAAGTTAAAGTCAGCACTGGCAATTGTGCACACTCATCTACAGGACTGGACAATTAAAAAGTCCGTTATCTCCTCTAGCATCGGGTGCAGCTGCAGCCTGTGCTAGAGAACACTTACTCACTCCCTGTGGGCACTCGGCATAATGCTAAATGACCTCCTGAAAACTGAGCTTGTAAACATTGACTAACACGACCTATACCACTCCACAACCGAATATACATAGGAACACACAACAGAGATGGTACACATTTAAGAACGGTCCCAAACTCCTTCATATATAAATAAATAACTGAGCTTCTCTTGGAGCAAGAAAATCATTCCAGCAGGTGTTTTAAAAGCATTCTCTTTAAATATAGGCATAAATAGCCACAATGGCACCTGGAAACATCCTTTTCATAAAATTCCATTACCATCACAAGCTCTGTTTCTAGAGCTGCCCAGGGTACTTTGGTTGATCTGCTTCTTAACTGCTTCTTAACTCTTTACAGAGCAAAAAGAGTTACTTTTTCAAAACACAGTTCTAAATTTTTATCAAACCAGAAAATGTGATAATGAGCTTCTGATGTTTAAACGTACTCAGGTGGACTTTAAATTTTAAAATAAAAACTTTACACGCGTTGGAGGATAGAAGAGTTTATCTGAAAAGGAACACAGTTTGAAAGGAACACAAAGATGGCTGTTAAAATAGCGATCAGACACCAGTGAGAGTGGAACTGAGTCCGGAAGGGATAAATGAATCTAAACAGCAATTTACCCCCCCCCCCCCTTTTTTTTTTTTTTTAAACGAAACAGCCAGCACTTCTCTTTCACCATTCTCAGTAGCCCACTCTTTCAACAAGATTTTTTGCCTTCCTTGTAAAAACTGGGATTTTCTGGCAACCTGTACAGTGAATGAGATGACGAAGTGACAAGCTTGTTGCAGCTGGTCACAAAATCTCCACAGAGCACCTCATAGCAGTGCAATTTGAATTATCACTACACAACACTCAAGATGTAGGCATACATTGACTTATGGAAATCTGATACAACAAGAGCTGTACTGGGCAGTAACAGCTCTCTGCCAATGTGACTGCACATACCAAATGGTTCTTGTAAAACGACGAGACATTGCCTATCTGAGTTGGGGATCCACAGAACTCGGATGGCTAAGAATTACGAGTCAGGAACTCTGCAGCGTGTGTATTCCTAGCCTGTCTTAGGCAATTCTCTCCCAGTAAAATTAACTGATAAGCAGCAGTTCAAGATTAAGAGTACTTTAATAGGCTTAACAGTTTAATTACCTATTTTAAAAGAGGGAACATTTAAACTCAAAAGGGCAAAATCTTACGCTTGTACATATTACAGGTGATGAAATCAAGACTGGACTCCATAGATTCTGCTATATAATTTGCATACAGATGAAATTTTTAAAAAGTAGTAATGAGAGTGCTGATTCTTTTTCAGATGTTGGATTTTATTTCCAGAGTATAATAATCATCATGCTTATTTTGTAACTAACGACAACATTCTTTTGAGATTCATCTCATTGCAACTCCCTAGCTCTTGGAAATACAGAGAGCTGCCAATTCTAAGCATTTTCCTAGAAGAATTAGTCAGAGACAGCTGACAGCAATACTTCTCTCCACCTTTTCTGGTAGCTGTTGTGATGGTTGCCTTGCAAAGACAGAGAGCCCAGTTTATTACCAATTGGTTCTGTTGTGGTCATGGTAACAGACAAATGAGAAAAGCCATGGCTCACTCAGTTCATATGCTATATTCTTTTAACAAAAGACAAATAATTTTGTAGTTTCAGTGTAGATTGGTTGGACTGGTAGTGTTCACGTCTATCAGCAATATTAATGACATATTTCTTGATACATTTCTGTGTTGATTTCATGCCAGTGTCTGAAAAACATGACTTTAAGTAGCAAGAATGATGCAAGTATGAAGGTTTTTTCTTCTAAGAGCCTGATCCTGAAAGATAGTGCTTAATAAATTGCAAAGTAACTGTCTTAATTTTAGCCAGTATTGTTACCAACATCTTTACTTTACCTTTAACCTGAATGAATCATATGTTTGTCTCGTACATAAATTTATCCGCATTGCAAGCTTTGATTTTCCTTTCGTACTTGACAGTGCTTAAATCTGATTACTCAGAACCTGCTCCTGTAACTGGATCTGTGCAGGAACATCTTGTCCTTGTCCCCTTGGTAACAGTACATCTCTGTATGGCAACAAGAGTTCAAGTAACTTGCACTTCTTCACTGGTAATGGGAATTGTAGAGATACAGTGAACCGCCCCATATGGGTCCAGTGACAGCAGGACTGAAGCCCCAATCCCCATTTTTCTGGCCTGTGCAGATGGACAGTGCAGTGTGACTACAACAAGAGATGGTGTCAATTCTGCCAGTGATCCACTGGGCCACCTTGGTCATGTCATTTTCATTTCAATCTTTCAATATCCCTTACTGCAGGTGGTGGACAGTTAATGTTTGTGGCCTTTACAGAGCCACGGGGGCAATAAGCTATTAGTACAGGAAAAACATCCGTTCTTGTTCAAAACACCTGAACAAAAGGTCAGGTACAAAATTCCCCAAGGGCACACTTACCTCTGGTGTACTGTCAGCAACATTATTGGTGTTATAGTAAGGATTTTAATATATACTGGCTTAATGTGAGCCGGTATCATTAAGGCACTACACACACTTAAATTAAAACATGTCAGCTATTGAATCAGCTGAGAATTCATTGAACTAACGCATAACCTACTCTAAGTCTATACAAATCTGCATATGGGTACACCAGAGTGTAATAAGGCAGCAAGGATTTTGCTAACTTCATAAACAGAGACCTTGTATGTGAAATAACTTGTCCAGAGTTTCTGGGTCCCATGGAGCTATGTACAGCTTGATATAAGTAAACGCAGTCAAACTATCTCCATTATGTGGAAATAAATTATACTTGAAAAGAGACTCTAGGAGGAAAGGAGAACTAATTTCTGAAGAGTGGATCCCACAGAGGATGTCAAAGGCTCCATATGGTCTCAAATCAGTATATAGCACACAAGTGTTCATTTTACATATACACATGCTAATCTCAGCATCCTGATGCAGAATTTGGGTTTCTGACTAAAATTACCACACTTGCAAATCAAGCCCCTGATGGTAGGTCTACCTACAAAATCTATTTAAGCATTATTTTAGGTTTGTTTTAACTTTCACCTCACAGATTTCATGGAAAGTTATTTTCTGATGCACATGCAGAGCTGTGATATTGTGTTTTGGGTTTGTTAGGAAGGGAATGGCAGGGATGGCACACAGGCGTAAGTGAGAATATTTTAGGGACAAACGCCCTAATGAAGTGCCCTTGAAAAGTTAGTTTATGCCACCATCTCATTACTTCTTTGACAGCAATGTTCAAAGTAAGCAGCTTGTCATACTGATACAGTCTGTTAACCTCTTCTGTTATTACTACATGCAATTAAAAATTACATTTCTTTTACTTCTGTATAAAAAGCTACTCCTTTCAGTGAATGAAATTTTAAAACTCTGTTGCCCATTGGTGTATCTGACATACACAGCTGTGTTTATCTTTTGTGTTATGGCAGGGTATTTTAGCTGTAGGATGTCAGCATGCCAGTTCTTCCGTGAGCAACACTAGTGCTAATAATCACACGCATGACACAATTGCACGCAACTTCCTGAGATATTTGCTTTCCAAAACCATTATCTTAACAACTGTTCTCATTTGCACAGTACAGAATATTGGATTGACGTTAGCTTCAGATTTTCAAAATTCAAAATAATGCACATTACCTACTTCGTGGAAGTACTTACTCATTTTGAGTCGAATTATGGAAGAAAAATACAGGGATAGTTTTCAATTATAAAAGGAGGGTATAAATACAGAAATAAACAATGCTGAAATTTATGTAGTATTATCTCTGTGTTATCAAACAAAAGTGTTTACCAGAGTTGTTTGAAAACTTCAAGAAAATAAAGCTTAAAGATTGCAAAGGAAAATGTCAGTTTATATCCTTTGAGAAACCTTTATCTAAAAACAAATCAGAGGTCTTATTTTTAGCTTGTTTCTTGCACTGAATTGCAGTTTTTCAGTGTGTGGGATGGGAATGTTTTTCAGCATGTGTGAGGAGGAAAAAAGAATTCACGGTGTTGATTTATAACCTTATAAGCTGTGCATCCCTCTCTTGCAGCAGTTTTAAATGTATTTCTGATCCAGAAAAGAAAAGAGATTAAAACACTACGAAAGGATTTTTTCAGCTTTTGACCTTTTTTCTTTCATTTTCCATGAGTCTCCCCAGTCAGGTCTATTTGTATATGTGAATACAAAAGCGTTAAGACTTGACAACTTGTCACAATACGTCATTTGTACTAATAGTCGGTCTTACATTACTTCAAGCTGTGTTTGGGACAAAACTAGTAAGTATTTTACACACAGAAGGACTTACGGATCTTGTTCTAGTATGCAAATTAAAAGATGACAATTAGAAGACAATGGTCTAGTAGAACGCACATTTAAGAGAAACGCGTATCACTATTTTTGAACCACACAGAAAATTTAGACAGTCTAAAATCTTTCCAGTTGTATCCATTAGGGTGCTGCAGATGGACAGACTTCCTCAGCACTCACGTGATATTCAGCAGAGATCTAGAAATACAGATGTGAAGGCTCCAAAGAAGTTTCAAGAGCTTTCACTTTGTGCCATAAAGTATGAGTGAATATGAATGGCAATCTTCATAGAGCTATTACCAACCAGCTGCCCATAAGCACCCATTTGAAAATTCAAAGACTGATGTTGTGGCCTCTTCTTCAAAGAAGAAACTATAAAAAAAAAATCATTACCTCTATTTTTACATAAAGTCACTACAGTCTGTTTTTGGCGTTTAGCTAGAGAGCCACTCTGTTGTCTGGAACACACAGACGTACAGCAACAGTTACTTACAGGTTTCCTGACATCTGGGAGGGAAGCCCACAGAGGGAAAACAATGGGCAATACAAGAAGGTAGGTGAGCTGCTTGCGTGGGGTGTCAGGCCAGGCTAGGCTGAGGGGCTGGTCCTCATCCTCTTCATTCTGTAAGAAAAGCCGCAGTGAGCAGAATATTGAAGTGGATGAATGAGGTTAGGGAGTCTTCAAAGAGGAGTCTTGGGGATGGTGCTGTGTTTCGGTGAGAATCCAGGAGGTCTGAAAACATTTCATTAACACCACACCTACGTAACAACATTAGCTAGGACACATTAAAGAGATTTTGGGCAGACTCTGAGGTATCCCTGCAGCACAGGCTGCCTGAGGACATCCATTTCCAGCTGTGCCGACAGCGATGCTGGTCCCTTGGGATGCACTGGAGAGGAATCTTGTGCCTCTGATATGTCTTCCCACAGGCCCTCCCTTGGAATGTGGGCTAGTCTAGTCAAGGATCAAAACTGGTCTGGACTGCATCAAGGCTGGCCACATAGAGACAGGCATAGGGATAGGGACAGGGATAGGGACAGAGAGATGTGTGTGTGTGTGTGTACACATGGACAAACATATATATGCATATAAATAGAAATACATACATGTGCATATATACATGTATACATATATCTAACTTTTTAAGCTCCTGTGAGTAACTTAAAATGTTACTATTTAAGACATATATATATAGGACCATAGGGTAATTCAGGGTGTCAGGGACCTGGGGAGCTCCACTGCTCAGCCTGGGCAGTCAGACCAGGCTGCTCAGGGCTTTGTCCAGTCAAGCTGTGAAACCATCAAGGATGGAGATGGTCCAACCTCCCCGGGCCCCGGCTCCACCTCTGGGCTGTCCTCATGGGGATAAGGCTTCTCCTTATCTCCAGCCTGATCCTCTTGTGTTTAGACCAGCCACACACGGCTGTCCTCTTAACAACTGGGTGCTAGAACTAAAGGAGAGACATGCCTCTCCTATTGGTGTAGCTGATTTTCTCATCAATCCCTAATCTCCTTTTATGTGTATGCTCTTCACCTGTCACCTCTATTACAGAGCAGGCATATAGGGACCTTCTCCCACAACAGAAACCCTTTTGGCTGCCACACACTTCTCCTTCCTTAGGCTGCTCCTGCTAACAAAATGGAGCCCTCTCAGACTGCCACAGAAAGAAAGCAGAGTGAGCATGATTCAGCCTTTTGAGTGTATGTATTAAAATAACTTTTTAACTTTTAAAACAAGTGGGTAATGTCTCCAAAATTGCAAGTGCATCTAACTTATGCCACAGAATGAAGCAACAGAATAAATGGCCTAAACAGTTCTTTCACATAGATGTGTGTAATGCAAACACTGTTAAGCCTGTGGAAAGAGTCCTAGAGAGCTCAGTGAAAGCTAAAGAAGTCCAAAAAAGATTACCCAGTGAAAACTGTTTGAGAGCATGAGAGGTATACAACTACTTCTTCACGTAGTGTTCTTGTTTTCTTCTTTTGCAAAAAGATAACTGCTGCGAATTCAGTCTTCTCTGCACCGTGCAAGCTACTCTTCTCACGGATCTATAGTGCATGTTTCCTGCCAGTCACTGCCCTCTCTTAAGATTGCTTACGTAAACCTTAAGACAATGATATGAGAAGCAGTCATTTGAATGATCACACCAGTTATTTTTTTCTAAGCAAATGAGTTATTGATGAAATGTCACCATATGTTAGTATTGTTCATAACATTTTCTGTTTACTGCTAATTTTGATTGAAGAAGTGGTCTTAATTATTCCTCTATTATGAACTCCTGAATTGTTCAACTGCTCAGCTAGTGAACTGATCAGTACCTACAGAAGCAAGCTTAACTCTTAGCTCAGGCTCTTCCATCATGGCTGTATCATCTGACACCAATGGACTGGAAGCAAATCTCTGTTTACCTCTTGACACACTGACAGGCTGCAGCTACTTTGACATTTATGTGTTGACATCAAGATAAGACAGTGTTTTGTTAACTCCTTCACTTTATGAAACTCCCAACTTGCATGATTGTTAAGACGGTAGTAAATTGAACAGGTCATAACAGGTATAATCACTACAAGATGTTAAAAACATACCCAGGCACAATTTGTCACACTTCACACAGTACTTAAGAGGTTCTTGAGCAACTTAAGAGGCTAGCTTTTGCGTTTAGCTTTCAGCCCTTTACCAAAGTGGGCAGATGACCTGTACTTCACTCCTGCAATCTGCTGAAGCCTGACTTTTGGGGGACTTGGGCCAGTACAGGAGTTTGTGGGGCTACTTCCTAAAAACCAAATCAATTTTTTCCCATTCTGTCAGATGCTGTTGAGGTGAGAAAATCAATCTGAGATGGACGCTCAGCTTTGAAATATGATGACTGAGGTTAAATTTGAGCACGAAAGGACCAATTGAAGGGTTGCCTAGGTAACTCTTTCTGAGTGGCCTGTGTATAATTCAAGCAGCGGACTCAGCTGGAATAAAGCTCCATAAATGACTGCTTCATAAACAGCACTGAGTGACAAAGTACTTCCTGAATTGCCATCTTTAGAGATTAGTCATGATTAACAACTGTATTTAATCACAAGAAAAGCTTTACATCAGTCTGAGTTTGCACATGAGTCTGCAAAATGTATGGAAATGAATTCCTACATTGGTTCATGCAGTACTGTACCAGTATGCACTGTTCTTCAACACTGGGCCTCACTCTGGTCTTGTGTCTGTGTCAAACAGCATTGGGCTAGCACGAGCACAGGCAACATGAACGGCTGTAGCAAAGGATCACAAGGAATCACACATGGAGATTGCCAAATGTCTCTTGAGAAACCTTGCTCCACCTGTTTTGAGATCTTCACCTTCAGGTTATAGTGCCTCATCCCTCTCCCCAAGACAATTATCCTCAAAATATAAGGCCAAACTCGAGCTCACAGTGCAGTAGGGCAAAACTCTTTTCCATGCTAATTTAACTCCAGGATCCATTACAGATGCCATAAACTGGATCTCCATTTCCTATTTCGTAAATCAGAATCAGCATCTGATTTTCAAATGCTGACCTTCCAAAAACCAGTGGAAGCAAGGAAGTTCAACATATTTATAAATCTAGCTTCCATGAACTTTAAAGCAATGCTGAGCTATCCACTGAGGTTGAAGACATGAAATGGAAATAATTTTGGCAGCTATAAAACCATGCAAATGTGAGTGTCTGGACTAAGCAGCAGTGATATAAATTGACTCAGCACAGATTTATGGCAGAGATTGTGTGCACTGTCTGTGGCTCCAGCCTATCTGCAAAGTACATACTCAATATGCATCCTCACAGTTCGTAGAAATGAATACAGGAGATACAGTTTCGATTTATTTTAGTCTGCATGAAGTAAAGACAGCACTTGCAATGTTCAGTATGATTCTCTTCCGCAATGTTAAGAAGAAAAACATAATGATTAACATGATATGAACACTGGATTTCAGATGCCTGAATACACATGGTGGTGCCATTTTAGATACCTTCTGGTATCTCACTTGACTTCCACATGCTCCATCAGAAGCGGAGAATATTCTGCTTCTTTACGGCATACGTGCCACCACTATGCAAAAATTTCCATTTCTCTAGGCCAGCTTAGGTGGTACTACCTACCCACCTACACACAAATGAGCCCTACCCCAAAACTCACTCCCTGCTACGACTCTGTAGCTAATTAGCTTTAAAGATACTGGAGTGAACATATGGAAAAGCTGCATTAGTTGATATTACAAACTCTGATGATAATCCAATATCTACACAAAGTTTCATGTGAACCTAAATTTAACTGCTGTCACAAAAACACAGGTCATATTATAGAATCATAGAATGGTTAGGGTTGGAAGGGACCTCAAAGATCATCTAGTTCCAACCCCACTGCCATGGGCAGGGAAATCCTCCACCACACCAGGCTGCCCAAAGCCTCATCCAACCTGGGTTTATAGTCTTTGACTTTATAGTCAAGTAAAACCTGAAGCTGTACAGACAATCACGGTTCTCCTACATTTCCAAGTCCATTTTGGTGACTTGTCTGAAAGGATTGTCCAGAATATGCTACTGACCATAGAACTGAACAGTTTACTTATATTAATACAAATAGCATTAGTTCTAAGTGTTCTAGATAGTCATATCAATATCATTCCTGGCAGAAATGACTGGCACCAGTATCACTTTCTCTTATCCAGCATCATCATCTGAAGACCTTTTCCCAGGCTGCATTTAAAGGTTGATGACTGGTAGGTAATAAGCAATTTGGGGGAAGTGGGAGAGGATAAAGTAATGTAAAATCTCTACAGTTTTTTATAATACAGTAAGATTGATTGAACTAAGAAGATAGGAACAGCCATATTAAGTCAGACCAAAGGCCCGTTTACACCAGTATCTTGCTTCTGGCAATGGTCACACATGGGCACTCAGGGAAGAAGTATTGGAATGTGGCATATTTTTTCATCTTCCACAAATTCATAGAATCACAGGATCATAGAATCATTTAGGCTGGAAAAGACCTTTAAGATCATCAAGTCCAACCATAAACCTAACACTGCCAAGACCACTAAACCATGTTCCTAAGCACCACATCTACATGTCTTTTAAAAACTTCCAGGGATGGTGACTCATCCGCTTCCCTGGGCAGCCTGTTCCAATGCTTGACAACCCTTTCAGTGGAGACATTTTCCCTAATATCCAATCTAAACCTCTCCTGGCACAATTTTAGGCCATTTCCTCTTGTTGTATCACTTGTTATTTGGGAGAAGAGACCGATACCCACCTTGCTACAGCCTCCTTTCATGTAGTCGTAGAGAGCGATACGGTCTCCCCTCAGCTTCCCTCTCTCCAGGCTAAACAACCCCAGTTCCCTCAGCTGCTCCTCGTAAGACTTGTGCTCCAGATCCTTCACCAGCTTCATTGCTCTTCTTTGGACACGCTCCAGCACCTCAATGTCTTTCTTGTAGTAAGGGGCTCAAAACTGAACACATTATTTAAGGTGCAGGCTCACCAGTGCTGAGTACAGGAGTATGATCACTTTCCTAGTCCTGCTGGCCACCCTATTTCTGATACAAGCCAGGATGCTATTGGCCTTCTTGGCCACCTCAGCACGCTGCTGGCTCACATTCA